ATTGAATGGAATTCATCACTCTGCATCAACTTCATTGACTACGAAAAGGCATTTGATAGCGTGGACAGAACAACACTATGGAAACTTCTTCGACACTACGGCGTGCCTCAGAAGATAGCCAATATCATACAGAGGTCATATGATGGATTACGCTGCAAAATCGTGCACGGAGGACAGTTGACAAAGTCGTTCGAAGTGAAGACCGGTGCTAGGCAAGGTTGCTTACTCTCACCCTTTCTCTTTCTCCTGGTGATCGACTGGATCATGAAGACGTCAACGTCTGAAGGGAAGCGCGGGATACAATGGACATCTAAGATGCAGTTGGATGATCTGGTCCTTTTATCCCAAACGCAACAACAGATGCAGGAGAAGACGAACAGTGTGGCAGCAGCCTCAGCAACAGTAGGTCTCAATATACACAAAGGGAAAAGCAGGATTCTCCGATACAACACAGAATGCACCAATCCAATCAAAATTGACGGAGATTTGGAAGATGTAAAAACCTTTACGTATTTGGGCAGCATCATTGATGAACAGGGTGGATCTGATGCAGATGTGAAGACGCGGATCGGCAAAGCAAGAGCAGCATATTTACAACTGAGGAACATCTGGAACTCAAAGCAACTGTCAATCAACACCAAAGTCAGGATTTTCAATACAAATGTCAAGACAGTTCTACTGTATGGACAGAAACCTGGAGAACTACGAAAGCCATCATCCAGAAAATACAGATGTTTATCAACAGTTGTCTACGCAAAATACTTCAGATCCATTGGCCGGACACTATTAGCAACAACGTACTGTGGGAGAGAACAAACCAGATCCCAGTGGAGGAAGAAATCAGGAAGAAGCGCTGGAAGTGGATAGGACACACATTGAGGAAAGCACCCAACTGCGTCACAAGACAAGTCCTCACATGGAATCCTCAAGGCGAAAGGAAAAGAGGAAGACCAAAGAACACATTACGCCGAGAAATGGAGATAAACGTGAGAAAAATGAACAAGAATTGGATGGAACTAGAAAGGAAGGCCCAGGACAGAGTGGGTTGGAGAATGCTGGTCAGCGGCCTATGCTCCATTGGGAGTAACAGGCGTAAGTAAGTAAATAAGTAATTTCTTTAAGTGACGTCGTCGAAGTAGCTCCACAAAAGTTCTCAAAAATTTCAACTTTTCTTATACATTAGACGTGTCACTTAAACATATGTCACCGAGCTGCCTTTTCGATATTCTACCTGCTTTCAAATACAGACTTTCGTGTAGGGACTTGACGATATCAATCTCAACTTTGACCGACAGAACAACAGATTTGTATACTGTTATTGAAGACATCCGACTGTTATTGACGGAAACTAAAATCTGCGCTAACGTTAACGAGGAGTGAATTGCCAACTGATATTTACATTGGTAATCATACACCTCTAGTGGAAATTGAAGACCCGATAAAACTGTCACCGTTGCAAATAGTCTCGGATTGGTTGTCCTGAGTGATGATAAATGGACTTCAGTACAGAGGAAAAGAAAGGAGAAGAAAAAAGCTGTGGTCAAAACACAGCTGGTTAGCAAGTCATCGGGAGAGACGGTATCAGAAACAAAAACTCCACTGCGTGTCAAGACAGATCTCTCCGATCGGTCAGTCATTTTTTATAAAATAAGAGAATCTAGGCTAGATTTGAACACGATCTCAGTCATATTTAGTCCTTAATAAGTAAACTACTCCCAGATACAGTTTCAGGAATTAGTATTTGTAAGTTTTACAGAATAGGACAAAAGGTGGATTCTGAAAGTCCTCCGAAAAACCGCCTCCTGAAGGTTACATTCAACACGGTGGAAGAAAGGAACCTGATTCTAAGTATTTCACGTAAACTGATAGGATCCGGAATATATGTCCGTGAGGATCTCAGCCTAGCAGATCGTATTAAGAGACGAGCTGCAGAAGCGGAAATAAATGAACGTCGCCAAAACGGGGAACGAAACCTTAATCTTAAGGGTTTTAAAGTTGTAAAAGTTCGGAGCAAAACGATCCCCAAGCCACTCTGGGTGGCAAGGGAAATCTCTCCACAGACTTAAAAGTGTGCTACACAAATGCTCGCAGCCTACTAAATAAAATGGCGGAGCTGAAGTCAGTGGTGGATAAAGAAAAACCGGACGTTATTGCTATCTCGGAAACTTGTTTAACGTCAGACGTTTTAGGTAGTGAAATCCAGTTGACTGGTTTTTTAACCAATAGGGCTGATAGCTTAAACTGTAGGGGAGGCGGTGTTATCCTGTACACGAAAAGTACCTTAACCATAAGATTAGCTGAGACAGTAGCACATGTTTCAGGGACATGTGAACTGGTGAGATGTAAGTTGAAATGTATACGGCAAGATATTGAATTAGTTGCAGTATATCGCAGTCCAGAATGTGTAGCAGATGATTTTCTCCCAAGTAAATTTAAGTCCTGATGTAACAAGGGTAAAAGCCTAGTAGTAGGAGACTTTAATGCACCATATATAAACTGGGTTAACTTAGTAGTAGGGTCATCCATTTCGTCGTTCGACTGCAAACTGTTAGAAACCTCGATTGGACTAGCATTATTCCAACACATTAGAGATCTCACAAGATACGGCTTAAGAAACTCTTCTTCTCTTTTAGATTTAGTCTTCACACACGGTGATGACGTTGGTCAAATGAACTTTCTCCCACCACTTGGGAGAAGTGACCATGCAGTCATCTTATTTAAATTCATGGCTGAGATTTCCTGTCAAACAGTTGCTCAGGCTCGTCCTAACATATAGAAGGCTGATATGGAGGCAATCGACTCCGCAGCATCGGCTAATAACTGGGACGTTGACTCATGGGCATCAGTACAAGAGGCATGGACTCTTTTTAGGCAGTTATACAATCGGGTAACTCAACCATACATACCCTGGATAGTTCCAAAGAAGAAGAAAAACGGTTATCCCATGATAGGCCGGGATATTCGACGTTTACTAAGGCAAAAGAAGAAATGTTGGGATGTTGTCATCCGCCTTGGCACGATAGAACGCTACAGATCGATAAGAAGCAAGTGTATAACAAGGAAGGAAGTGAATCTGAAATGATAGGGGAAGATCAGGAAAAAGCAGAGGCTATGACTGGCTATTTTGGGGCAGTTTTCATTCAGGAACCTCCTCTAGAGAAAGAATCAGACCCAAATACAGAGTCAACAAACCAGCTGCTCACTGTGGACTTCGACCAAAACGATGTGCTTAAGGCTCTTAGCACCCTAAACATGGAGAAGTCAACAGGACCAGATGAACTACACCCCAAAATCTTGAGACACATTACCCAATATATCGCGACCCCACTGACTGTGATATTCAAAATGTCACTTGACCAAGGTGTGTTACCTATGGACTGGAAGGACGCAATCGTCACTCCCATACATAAAACAGGTCCACGACAAGTTCCATCGAATTACAGACCCGTAGGCCTCACCAGTGTTGTAATTAAAACACTGGAAAGAATAATCAAACGGACCATAACAGCATTTATGGAAATCAATAACTTGATGACCAAAGCACAACATGGGTTCAGAAAGGGTCTATCCTGTACAACGAACCTCCTTATAGCTAGGGAGCTCTGGATTAATGCGCTAGACAACGGAAACTCAGTTGATGTTTTCTACATAGACTTCAGTAAGGCTTTTGACAAGGTGCCAACTAATAGACTGCTATTGAAGTTGGCAAACCTTGGCATTGCCGGACCTCTTTTAAAAAGGATTAAGGATTTCCTAGTAGGTCGTAGGCAAAAAGTAAGAATAAATTCCAAGTGTTTCATCTGGAGACCAGTACTTAGTGGAGTACCCCAAGGTTCCGTCTTAGGTCCTTTACTTTTTATAATATACGTTAATGATCTCACAAGTATAGTACAGTCTCCAATGTTATTATACGCTGACGATGTAAAAATTTGGCGAGTAATAACTGGAGACAAAGACGCATTTACTCTTCAGGCGGACTTAAATAATATGATAAACTGGTCTAAAGAGTGGCTGATGCCTATCAACTCGGAAAAGTGTGTCTACATGCATTTGGGGGATTCAAAGGTTAATACGTACAACATAGGGGATGTGTCATTACCCGTAGTCCGGTCTCATAAGGACTTAGGGGTGACAGTGAGCAATGATCTTAAGACGACGGCCCATCGCCGGGAGGTCGCAGTTAAGGGGTTTCGAACCCTCTGGGCTTTAGAAAGGATATTCACTAAGTTAGATACTACCATGTTCACCACAATATACACATCCTTAGTGAGAACTAAGCTATTGAACTGCGTTCAGGCTGCAAGCCCCTGCTTAAAAGATGAATCGGACATTCTAGAAAAAGTACAGAGGGCAGCTGCCCGTGCAATTTCAGAACTCCAGTGTTTATCATATAAAGAGCGGCTTGAAAGACTGAACATCTTTACTCTGTTGTATCGCAGACTAACGTGAGATCTAATATTGATGTACAGAATACTGAGAAATGATTTTGGACCTAACTTATTCTCTCTTTTTCTTCCCACTAGATCGGGACATCTCAGAGGACATAGCAGACGAGTAGAAAAGCCAAGAACGAACAAAGTACCCGCGTAATACAGGTTTTAACAACAAGTCATCAATACTTGGAACCTGCTGCCTGAAGCAGTGGTATCCACACCTTCAATTGACTCTTTTAAGAAGAGACTGTACACTCACAGAAGCATACTAGGAAAGGAATAACATAGGCCGTAGGCCTTCTGTCCTTACTACACAAATTTGAAATCTATCTATCCACGTAGTTAGCGCGGACGCAGTCGGAATACTGGGATATCTATCTACAATCATTGAGCATACATCGCAACTGAGCAAATAGTTTTGTTCATAAATAATTAAGACTGCATTCGTTTTATTGAGTCAACGTAAGGAAAATTGATGTTACTGTTTTTTTAAGTCAAAAGTGCGAGCGCGACATCTGGTTTTGTACATACGGAAGCATTGTATAAACTAGTCGATGTTTTAGAATTATGGGTGATAATAAAAGAGTATCTTATAGTCCGATGAATGCAGAACTTCTCCGTGATGAGAAAGAGCCTTTGCGGGAGGCAGATTTATCTTCTAAGGATATGGTGTGGGTTCCTCATGAACGAGAAGCATTTGTCGCAGCTGTTAAGCTTCAAGAACAAGGAGAAAACGTTGTAGTACAGCTCGTAGAGTCAGGAAAGAAATGTACGTTTCCTAAGGATTATGTTCAAAGAATGAACCCCTCAAAATACGACAAGATAAAGGACATGGCAAACCTATCGTTTATGAATGAAGCATCAGTCTTAAATAACTTAAAGACGAGATATTATTCAGGAATGATCTATGTAAGTCATTGAATTGTTTCTCATAACAATATAGACATACTCCGGATTGTTTTGTGTGGTTGTTAACCCATACAAACGATTACCGATCTATGACGAAGAGATAGTAGAGTGGTATAAAGGAAAAAAGCGCCATGAAAGACCACCACATATATTCGCTATTGCTGATGGAGCTTACCGTAGCATGCTTCAAGGTAATCATGTGTAATTTGAGTTATGTGTGTTACAGACCGTGAGGATCAGTCGATTTTGTGCACGTAAGTGTGTTGTTCACTTTTACTGGATCTTGTAGCGGTGAATCAGGATCTGGAAAGACTGAAAATACGAAAAAGGTAATACAATACCTCGCATGTGTTGCCACGTCTGCAAAACAGCAAAAAACATCAGCCAAAAATGTAATGTCAAAGTTTAACGTAAGTACTTTTTCAACCTATTCTGACAAATTTGATATTTGGACACATGCTTTATAAACATGATAATAAGTTATTCCGTATAGGCTCTTAAATTCCTATTTCCAAAACGTGTGGACCAGTTTTTCGTCATATCTCATATCTTATTCGCCTTTTCTGATCCCTAATTTTATGTGGTCGGAATCTCAGCCGATGTGTGTAATAAAAGAGATAACTTGCAATCATTCCATGGTTTGATTCACATGCGGTTATAGTTATTTTTGAGTAACCAGATCGTTTGCTAAACTCTATAGACATTTAGATTTATATGTTTAGGTTCATGCGAGTTGTATAACCCTCAACCACAAATTTTTGTCTCATATCAGCGTCTATTCATCTATTGTTTCGTAACTGGGAAAAGCAACGTAAAATTCAAAGCTTACGTTGCAACTTAATTGAGTAAACATATGTAACGAGAACACCTTTGTTAATCGATATCAACACCAAGTTTAGGAATAGTAGTTTCGAATAATTTGATACTGGGTAGAAAGTTAATAAGGACAATATAATTATATTATTACCCCCATCAATATGGTTTTCAACATGTTCCTCAGTTTCTGAACTGTAATATTGCATAGTTTTGCTCAATATCCAATGCCTAATTTACCAGCAATCTGTTACATGATTTACAACTGAATAATGAGTTACAATTAATAATGTGATTGGACCCTGTTCAAAACTTGATAGTATTATTTTAATCTGGCTTTTAATTTAATTTTTAGACGAAAGATTTCAGTATTGTAAGTTTACCGTTGCTTTATGTGCACGATGAGTCTTTCACAAATTCCTTGTGCACTTGATTTTACTGTTTATGATGAATGGTGATCATTAAAGGTTCTTTTTTTTCAAAATTATTTTTGAGAATCCTTGTCACAATGATTACTGGTCATTAACATAAACCTGTTATCTAATTATTTTTTATTGGTGAAGGTTATGGTGTTTGATACTTGTTTACATTTCATCTCACTTCTATACATTGTTTTCATCTTACAGGGTGAACTTGAAGCACAACTTTTGAAGGCAAATCCCATTCTTGAAGCCTTTGGAAATGCCAAAACAATTAAAAATGATAATTCTTCACGTTTTGTAAGTGAATCATTTCTTCAAAACTTTCTTTGTCAACTGGCTGGAAACCGCACCTAATTTTAGGATTTTGTTTTTTGTTGTAGAGCCACTATTATAAATCAACGTATATGATGATTACGCTTAATATTTTAGTTACAAATGATTGTATTTTCCAAATGTTGAACGATCTCACTCGCTGACATGCAACCAGTTCTCGTTATCGCTCCACTGTTTGTTGTGCACACTTCTTTGTGGTCTGTCAAATTCTTGTTTTACACCTATTGATTTATCAATCGCCCCGTACTTTCGATCTAATGCTTCTCCAAGAGGAAAACGTTTGCATGGTGAACTTAGTCCCATCAACACAAAATCTACTATATATCGTTTGACAAAACATGAGTAGTAAAAATCCTTAATTGCTGATTATCCAAGCCCTTTCCTATGAATTAGCTAGCTAATTAGCTCAAGTAATTTAATAAAATACTTTTGGGTGAGATAAACAGAATTTGACCTATTCGTAGATAAGAAGTCTTTGTGCGTGAACCACTGAGTAAGAAATACCTGGGTTAGAAATAAAGTACTAGGTAGGGATAGCATTTCAATTGATTAAGTAGTGAATCTTCATCTACTGAGGTGTTTGGGACATGTCACTTATTCCTAACCATCACCTTTCTCGACGGGCAGTGTCTGATGTGGAAGTAAACTATAAGAAAGCTAGGGGCAGCCAAGCCAAGATATGACATGAAATCATCGACAGTTGGAGTGAGCCATGTTAATAGGTGTAAACTACCTGGTTGAGGTCTGCGTGATTATCGTAACCAATGGTTAGAGTCCTTAAATGACATGGCTCAAAGTAACTTGGAATGGCTCATGTGCATCCATTATTTGTCTTCCCCCAAATATTGAGATTCTAAATTCTTCATAGCTTTTTTTGTGTTTCTGTTTTACTAATTTACATTCACATGAGTGCTTAATTTATTCTATTGCCATTCATACTGTTACTACCTCTACTGTTGTGAGGTTTGGCCTGACAGTTTCACCTCTGCTGATGGAGTATGGCATCTTGAATTGACGTACATACATGACAGGTTTTACGTTGTGACTGAATTTTTGTGTTTATTAGTTTACTGGGTTACAATAAGTGCAAGAAAATCATCTTAATGTTACCACTACAAGTGTTCGATAATTATCTCAATGACTTCTATGCTACAAGTTATGTTGTAGTCTTTTACTTTATGTATCATCTTCCATCTGATATTTAAATAAATAACTAATAATTTCTCTTTGTAGGGTAAATTTATTCGTATTAATTTTGACACATCTGGATTCATTGCTGGAGCTAATATTGAAACATGTATCCCTTTTATGATTGGTTCTTGTGTGCGTACGGCTTTCGCTTTTAAGTTTTTTTTCATTCGGTCAATTAAATAATGTATTATAAATATGGAACTTGTGTGTTTTAATTTAAGTGTTATGGTACACATAATAAATCAATTTAAACACATGATTGCCTTGAGGTTGCACCTTCATTCAGACCCCTACATAATGTAAATAATCCCCCATATATCTTGAGCTCCTGACATCCAAATCACAGAAATCATGCGTTACTTGTATTTATAGTTAGTCTAACAAAACACGTATCCTCTCTGACCATTGAACAAGATTCAGCATTTCATGTTTTTTCACTTAAGAATAACAAAGAAATCAACATTGATGGAATATATACACAGTTAGAAAATATATGTATCAAAGAAAAAAATTAGACGACAATCACTAAAAACTCTAAGTTTGAGGGATAAAAAAATGAGTATATTTGTATCATTAGAATTTATTCCAAGCAATCATCTTGAGTTGTGAACCACATATCTGTGTTACCTTTTTGAACCTGCATGAGGTTACTTCGTTTCATTAACTGGTGCCATCTTCATATTTGACCGCTTTTTTAATTTTTATTTTAAAGTCATATGCGGAGATTGTTAATTCCTTATCATAGTATAGATCTTTTAGAGAAAGCTCGTGTTATTCGTCAGGCAGTGGATGAACGCAGCTTCCACATATTTTATCAGCTTTTGGCATCAGCTACTCCAGCAATGCAACAACAACTATTATTAAATCATGCTAGTGCTTATCGTTTCCTTTCAAATGGTATGATCGAACTCCCGGGGATCGATGAGCAACAATTTTTCCGTGAAACAACTGAAGCCATGGATATAATGGGAATTAATAACGAGGACCAAAATGGTACGTTTAATGTAGTTAACTTAGATATCTTACTTGTTTCTGCAAATAAAATGTTGATATCTTGTCGAGTAAACTTATTTACTTTATACCTTCCAAATTCAGTGGTTGTCAAATACTTTATCCTTCTTATAATTTGTTATTTTAGCCATATTCCGCGTGGTATCTGCTGTGCTTCATCTAGGAAACTTGGAATTTCGTCAGGAACGAAGTTCTGACCAAGCAACTTTACCAGATCATTCAGGTTAGTGTTTGAAAATTCGTTATGCTCTATTACACTGGGTTAGTTGTATAATGTTTGTCAACTTTTGATTTACTGCTTGATATCCATACTCACGTCATATTCCATGGGTTAATATTCATATTTCAGTTTCGTGTACATAATGTTGCTCAAAATGGCTTAAAGTACATAAAGACAAGGTTTACGGTTTTTTTAGTCACGGTTATCAGTTTGTGATGATATCTTCAAATGAAACATGTTCATAAACATTGAAATGATTAATACTTTATTGAATCAGATATTACACCATACCAAATCACAATTTTTCTATGTTACGATTACTGATGTGGTACACAGCAATTTCGCTAAAATATTTTACCAGCGTTTTTAATAGCATTAAGTACATACTGTTATTAAGTATCATAGTTTCATACATCACTTATATGTTAATTACGTTCGTATTTTAACACGATATCACAGGCGTCAGCCCTTGGTATTAATATGTTGACCGGATTATTCCGATTATTATCTAAGCACACAAAGTGTGTGTATAGCATCATAAAGAAAATTTAGTTAATTTGTAGAAAAAAGAAAAAAAGTCGTTGACAAAGCAGTGTAGAATAAGGTGAACACCAGTTAGCAATACAATCCGGTTTAAAAATGCAACCAAGAATAGTTCTTTCAGTTAAGGAAGTTCCTCTCATATTTATGAAGATTGTAAAGAATAACTGCGGCAAAATCCCATCGGCTTCTGTTTTGACCCATGTGTGATAACGCCCGGAGCTACTGAGTTGACTGGATCATCTATCCTTTGGCCAGGATTCGAAATATAGATATACTTATCCCACTTTCTGATTGTAGCTATATCTCTTGATTTCAGTCGGCATGCTATCACATCAATCAAGTTTTATGGGAGTTCCTGTCATTGGAATTCGTGCTAATAAAGCACACTAACCTACTGGATTCTCTTTGTCCGAATACTATTAGTCAGGTTAGAGCTTACGGCGAACCATCTTCTGAAATTCGAATACGTTAAATAATGTCCACCAAAGTCCTAGAATAATAACTGATCTAAAAAAGTTGTGTATTTATTTATTCGTGGTTTCTGTTCAGCAGTTGTAAACGATACTTCAAAGTTTTTGTTCACAGGTTAACTCTTGACCATTTGCTATAAATAGGGTAAATCATTTTCGATGCCAGTTTACAATTAGATCATAATTGTACCACTGCAAACATAAGCTCTAGAAGTAGCAATTGAGCACTCTAAAAGTTTTTTAGTGGGACTACTTTATTCTTTTCAGCTGATATTATTGTAGAAGCCGAATGTTATCAGATGTTTATGATATCCGATTTCTTTTTTATGGAATTTATCAACAGTAACGATTTCAATTTATTACCATACTTTACAGTTGTAAAATCTTAATCTACCCCAATTTTTTATTCGTATAACAATTAACACGTACCTTAATACCTTCCCTAGTCGCTGAAGAGGTATCCCATCTTCTGGGTATCCCTCTGAGCGAAATGGTCAAAGCGTTTTTGAAACCGCGCATCAAAGTTGGGAAAGATCTGGTGTCAAAAGCTCAAACCAAGACGCAAGTGGAATTCGCTGTTGAAGCTATTTCAAAATCTATCTACGAAAGGCTCTTTCTTTGGTTAGTCGCACGAATAAATAAAACACTTGACAAAACTAGACGACCGGGTGCATCGTTTGTCGGGATTCTCGATATAGCTGGTTTCGAAATCTTCCAAGTGAGTTGATATTTTGTAACAGTTTGGTATTATCTCCGTGCCTTTTGTACTTTGACATACTTGAGTTATCTAACTGGACCAATTATTGATAGAGAGACACATATATAAACAACTTAGGAATTGGAACCATAACATCGATCCAGGTTGATACATCGTCCATATCATACCGCAAGCTGTTTACTTACGCCTGTTACCCCTCATTGAGCCCAGGCTGCCGACCAAGGTTCTCCAACTAACTAGTTTTTTCCAGTTACTATTCATTCTTTTGATGTCTGCCTCCAAGCTGTAGTCAGGGTAAAAGGATTACTGTAAGTGAAGACAGCTTAAATAGCAGTAGGGCCTGAAAAATCCGTTCAGATGAATGTTATAGGGTAAGCCGTAATAAGCTACCTACCAATTATAATAAGATAAATGTATCTACACTGACACTTGTAGTCTTAAAGCACTACATAGAAGACTGTCCTCATTAGATAAAAAAGATTGAGATCGATGTCATAGTTACTTTATTTTTACACTCTATTAACCTTTCTTCGTGTTGTTAAGAATAATGAAATGATTAGGTAATACTCTTTTGTGCCATACTCTCACATTGCCCCAACTAACTGATTATTCTACAAATGCATGCATCTTCAGCTCATACTGGTAGTCGGTTCACGTACATAGCAATTTCGCAGAGAGTTTGAAAATACAGTTGTCACATCAATTTTTAAAGTTTGTTTCTGCTAAAAAACTTTATTTTTGTCTAACCACATTTGTTCATTGTGATAAATAAGTCAATTTGTGACAACCTATTGGTTTTAATCTTTTTTTTTTTCACAGGTGAATTCTTTTGAACAGCTATGCATCAATTATACGAATGAGAAACTTCAACAACTTTTTAACCATACAATGTTTATCTTAGAACAAGATGAGTATACTCGTGAAGGCATACCATGGGAATTTATAGACTTTGGACTTGATTTGCAACCGACAATCGATCTAATTGAACGAGTAAGTTGAACAATTCAAATTACCCAGACAGTTCGCGGTAATTGATTTTGTACCGGTAACTGTTCATTATCGTATGAACTTTTTGCACCATAAATCTTTATTCATTCGATTTAACGCATGTTTACGAATCTGAATGGATTTATACCTACTTAACTCCTCATTCCATGGTTGACGCATATATTAAATATCACACTTATTCAACGTTGATAACAAAGAATCAACATAGATTTTTCTGTATATTTTTCTTCTAAAACATGTACAACCTACTCCATTTAGATTGGATGGGTTACCATAGGTTTTAATTTACATTGGGAATGTGTAAGAAATTTTCACATAAATACTAAAGACTAACAATTGGCAGTTTTCCTTGCTAAAGATATTAAGAATTTTATATGAACTACATAATTATTTGATAATTATAAACATATACAGCAATAGATCGATATAACGCGTTGACTACTATCTGACTACATAAACTTGAAATTGATCAGTACTTGATGATCAATCAGTTGTAAATATTTCAGTATTTGATAAGTCTTGTTAATTGAACGCTAGATTTGGTTCCTAAGCTCTTCTAGTAACCCCCAGGTTAGATTAACACAGTGACTTGAACACGGGAAAAGGTGCGAAATATGTAAGAAACTTTACTCTAAAGGTTCGTCTATGTACAGAAAATATAGGGTTTTTATAGTGTTTTAGATGTCCTTGGGTTTCCCGAAAATTCCGGAATGCTACTAAACACAGTAGCAGTATAAGTAATCATCCAATCAGAAACTCTACATGTGACTTTTCACTTTCTTGATATTTCTGATTGAATAATATGCTTATAAGTGTTTTCAGAGCCTTTCTTGGCTTTCTTCTAGGAGCTTACTGGATCTCCCCAACAGTCACGAGGTCAGTTTTTGCCTAAGTAACTCAGTAGTGACGTTAGACCGTGAACTGAGTGTTGTGAGTTCGAATTCTACGGAAAGCATCAGTTCCATGAAGATTCTGGGCAATTATTGTTGATGAGTGTCGTTGGTTTGAAACATAGGTCCAAGGTTTTTTGCAAACTAATAGCAACCACTAAACATTTACAGAAATTCATAAATTGTTGCTACTTAAAGTGTTTCAAATTTCTTCCCTGTTTAAGCAGTCATGTCAGCGGGAAATGAGATGCCACTTGTCATAGAATTTGTATGATTGGCTATATTATTTAGATCATTAGACTAAAGCTTTTCCTGACCATAATGCTATAGATTAAGTCTTGTAGGATAAATAATAATAGGCAAATGACTTGTTTATACAATTCTCCCATGAGTTATTGCTTCAAGATTAGTTTCGGTCCTCTTCCATTTATTTGTTTTTGATGGATTCTTTCTCTTCAACTATACCTAACTGTGAGAAAAATTTTGGTGGACTAATACTTGGTCCCCTTAACTTCTATAATTCATCAGTATAGGGTCCCAACTATAAGTTAAAGAATGAAAAGAGATCTAGAACATATTCGTAGAAAAAGTCTGAACACTCGGTTTCAAAACGACTCCTATCATAGACTCCTTCGTTTCCATCAAAAAATCCAACTAGAACCTACTGAAAAATCCCTTTTAGTTATCGTTTTGTGACATTTCACTTGTGGTAAGAAAAACTCACATGATCTCAAAAACTGTTATCCCTAATCACCAATTTTCAAGATCACCAAATAATCCCCTAATTGAAATTTCTCATAGAATCACCATTGACAGCGATAATGAACAAAGTCCCCCTTTTGTCTTGACCTACTTTCCCCACAAGTCCCTGTACCAGACAATAAGGTAAAATGAATCAATTCTTTTACTGATAACCATAGCTGGCGAGCTACGCAATTAAATTATCCTGCATTTATACAATACCTAATATAACGACTACTACTTTTGGGATATGCTGAGCCTCTTCTTAAATCCAGATGAGTAAATTTTTATTTATATCTTAACCACAATGATCAGAAGTCCTGTTTCTTTCTAACTTTAGCCTATGGGTATCTTCGCCTTGTTGGATGAAGAATGCTTCTTCCCTAAGGGAACTGACAAGTCGTTTGTTGAAAAACTCATCAAATCTCAGGATAAACATCCAAAACTGTGTAAAACTGAATTTCGATCTAATGCTGATTTCGGTGTTATTCACTATGCTGGTCGAGTTGAATATAATTCAAATCAATGGCTAATGAAAAATATGGATCCTCTCAACGATAATGTGGTCGCATTGCTTCAGGCATCAAATGATCCATTTGTTCAGGTTAGTTTTCGACAGCTCTTTTTTAATTACTACCATATTTAAATGGGGTTTGGGTTATGATCTGGTTCCTGAATCCTTTCTAAATTAGTCTTCAAGTATCGAGTTTAAAAATCGTTTCATTTGAATAGTCAAATAGTATTACTACCTCACTACTGTATCCTTCGACAAGTAAGTATATCACTCAGACGATAAAATTGGCATCTAAGTTTTTGATGCGTAACATTTTGTAAACAGAATATTCAACATCGCAAATCGTTTATTGTCTTTTCACCTTTTTCATCATATTTAATTTCAATTTCTTTACATGTTTTACAAGCATGTAAACGTTTGATATCAGGCAGTTGATTTGAAAATTCGAATTTTTAGTATTAATAGTAGCAAAATACGAATTAAACCAGAGTAAACTGCAAACATCAGTTAGTTTGCAAAATAATCTCTAAATTAAGTGCTTCTTTTAAACTTTTGCTGAATATTGTGTGTTTTAATACAATAAATCTGTAACAAATCAGCGGAGATATGAGCTTTATTACACTCGTGGAGACTGAATTTTTAAGTGATCACAGTAAATAAAATCGATAGGAGTTTCAATAAATTTTTATTGATACTAGTTGGGTCGTTTTTCAATGAGTTCCTCCTGCTTGATTATATCACTGATCATGTAAATTAGACAACAACTGTTTTTAAAGTCTTGTGATTTTTATCTTGGTTAATCGATCTAATTCTAGGTCGAATTCAAAATTTTGTCCATATGCTGTCATAAGCTGTCTCAACAGCATTTGTAACCTTTCTGTAAATCGCTTTACAGTAGGATTTCGGTTGTTATTGTTCATATGTCTTATTTTTTGTCAGGCTATGTGGAAAGATGCCGAAATTGTAAGCATGTCAGCCACTACTACGACCGACATCGCTTTCGGTTCTGCTCGTAGTGTTAGAAGGGGAATGTTCCGTACTGTAAGTCAACTCTACAAAGATTCACTTATACGTTTGATGACTGTATTGAAAAATACGTCTCCAAACTTTGTCCGTTGTATCATTCCAAATCATGAAAAAAAGCCAGGGCGAATTGATGGTCCTTTAGTTTTGGAACAACTTAGATGTAATGGTGTGCTGGAGGGCATAAGGATTTGTCGTCGTGGTTTCCCCTCGCGTATCCTCTTCCAGGAATTCAGGCAAAGATATGAAATTTTAACTCCGAATGTTATCCCAAAGGTCAGTACTATTTTAACTAAATATCATATTTTCCGTTGTAAGTTTTTTTATTTATTATCTATCAGTTGTTCAAAAACCCGTCAGTTTTTTGATCATTTCTAGTTTCGTTTGGAATGCCAATTTCAGTAATTAAGAATAGTTTTTCAACTGGATAAAAGAAATGCGTCCTATTTCGTGACTAAAAATCCACTTTTATGTACAAACAATTTGTGGTTTGTAACACTGCTTTTTTAAGTCAAGAAGTATTCCCCATTTGTAACAAATCATACAAAGACGTCACATATTTCTAAACAATCTATTCATAAGTCTAATTTATCTTTTAATTTTCATGCAGTATTAGGATTAATTTAGTATTCTGTATATTAAGTCAGTTTGTACACTGCTCACTCTGTATTCCAACTTTTTATAGATCTTATAAACCAAGCTTCTGCTGTCTAATTTGCTTTCATTATTGTTGGTTAAGCAGTCATTAGTGCTTAAGCTATCCTTCTTAACCTATTTTCTTGTATGTACTAACCAATGCCGATATGCATGGTTAAGTGTAGGTTTTTGTTAAAATATTCATTTGGTTTCTGAAAATTGAAAAATTAAGCTTCATTTAAATACTGTGTGATGTCTTACTGTATACACACACGACTTCGTAAGGAAATTATTTTTCTGCACTTCACATCACATTCACGGATTTAAAAATCCTTGTTATTTCGAACTGAAAAATTAAATACTCTTAGCATGTCAAATGAAGTGATCATGGATGAAACGATCATTAAAACACTCAACTTTCAATCAGTAGGCTATGACTTTGAATGCCGTCCCATGCTCTTCGTTTTGGGTTGCCAATTAGTGTCAATAGTCTCCACAAAAAGTTGTCTCAAAACTAATTTTACAAAATCTTGCTTGATAAATGAATTAATGTTTCTTGAAAACTTGATAAATTCACGTTACATTTTAAAATAAAATGGCCTTTCTTTATCCAATCCCAGGGATTTATGGATGGTCGTAAAGCCGTTACTGAGATGTTGAAGGCTCTCGACTTAAGTCAAGACGTCTACTGCATTGGTAATAGTAAAATATTTTTCAAAGTTGGTGTTCTGGCTCAGTTAGAAGAAGACCGTGATATACACTTGACTAACTCGGTCATTAAATTCCAAGCATATGCTCGTGGTTATCTAGCCCGACGGTAAGTTTGTTAATTGATCACTTTGCTAGTTTATGTTTTTCGTCATGTCTTACGATTTTAAGCTAATGTCCTTTCGTTGTTTGATCATTGATTCCGTTTCTGTGCGTCGAATAAGTTTTATCTTTGCTCTTTGGATACAGCAGACCTTAGGTTTCTTATTTTGTAGGCACTAGTATGAATCTGGGACTTTAACTGTCTAAACAGTTTTTAATCGAACTTGAAGCAATCAAAAACTATCCTTCTTCTGATGTTGAAACTTTCATCAAAATCCGCAGTGCAATATTTCATTGTATATATATCTATACATTTCTGTATAAACAGAAAGTACAATTGTCTGTTTCAAATGTTTCATCTAGTCTCTTTTGGTATCTGTTATTAACGCTTTCCGTATATATCTAACTGGTTTATATTCTTTATGGGTATCGTTTTTTCTGTTTTCTACAGAGCTAAGGAACAACGCATACAAAACATTCAAGCTAGCAAAATAATCCAAAGGAATTGTGATGCTTACCTTAAACTGAGAAATTGGCCCTGGTGGCGTTTGTTTACAAAAGTTAGACCACTTCTTACTATTACTCGCCAAGAAGATTTGGTCGCTGTTAAAGAAGAAGAGATTCGGAAGGTTAGTTTGAATATCATTTTGGATACAAGCTTATAGTTTCGTTTTAAAAGTAATGATGTATAGTCGTTTTTAAATTCCATCACATCTTATTTCAACCTTGAAGTCCTAATAAAATCCAATTATGTATCTGTTTCCAGTCAGTCATACCGACGAAATAACCTGGCACAGATATTCATCAGTTCAAGTTTCTACACTAAGTAAGGATTGCAAGGTGATGTGACAATATAAATACCGAAGTGGTAATATTAATTATGGTAAAAAATATTCAAGAAGAAAAAATAAATTCTCGAAGTACAAAGTATTTTTTTTGTATTTACCCTTCACAACTGTGTTCATACTCCAGTTCATAAATGTATAAAATTCCTATAAACCTGTCCTCTTCGTACTATCTTCAGACTATGCAGTCATTACTTTATTAGACCGGAGTTAGTATTCCCTCCATCAACCTTTTATGATCGTCAGTTGCTGAGGTAGTCTTTCATAATTTGTTTTAAGTGAATTAAATGTCCTATTACTAAGCTTATTAATCAATATCTAACTGGTTTATTTCGGAAAAGAATATGACGATATGTGACCAGGTTCATTTTGTACAAACAATCATATTTATTTACCTAATATTTTATCGGATCTAATAGAAATCTCTACATTTATTCTTCTAGGTATCATTGCCAAGGTTTGATTTGATAATTTCAAATAGATTGAGCATTGGGTAGATTGTTATAAATAAATAAATAATATATTTGTAATATCCCAATGAGTAGAAAAATAGATTTTTTGACGTTTCGTGACTTAGTGCAAGTCACTTCTTCAGAGAATAAATAACCAAATTAAAATTAATCTAAGTTTAAATAGTACAACGGAACAATAAGAATATGTGATCAATCAAAAACAGGTCTGAACAAGTTAATGTCATGTCATTTCGTTGTTGCTACCTTGACGTGTTGGTCGGCCTTGCCTATCATGATGAAGCAACCGAACTATACTGGCTGGAACAACCGTTCCTCAAGGTCCTACCATGTCAGACAGGTCGGTTGAAGAGTGGTAAGACTAAAAGCAAAAAACCCAAGGTCCGAAAGCGAAGTCGTATTGCTGACTGTACAGAGGTGTGACGGCAGTAAGGTGTTTCGTTCAGACAACCAGCATGACAGCGATGCGGCCTTCTCACAAGGAACTTGTAAGATGATAGTGTGAATTGTAAATAAGATCAGACTGAATGGCTAAGATAGATAGTCTAAGTAGTATTTATGGTAAGGCCTTCTTTTCTTTTGAGAGAAGTAGGATTAAGCATTATATAGAACGCTTCAGCTAATCTCCTTTCTTAGTAAATGGAAAAACCTTCTTGCAATATTTTGATATTTTAAAATCAATTTGATAGTCGTTGAAAATGGCATGAGCTGCTATTGCCGATATAATTTGACATTTATCCAGTTCTATAGGATTGTAAGGAGGTTTCTTTGTGTACCTAATATGTTCTTTGGCTATAGTCAAGAATCCTCTCCAATATAGAAGGCATCACAATCGATACAACATAATTTGTAGACCCAGTTCTGTGTGGACATGAAAGGGTTTTTTTCTTGTAAGCGAGCTAAAGTATTTCGAAGTATGTCCGTTGTTTTGTAATATACTTTAATTCTGTGTTATTCTAAGATTCTTTGGAGTTCTTCTGACATCTGTCAGAAAGAGTATTGTCGTTCTCTAGTAAACCAATAATGAATTCTAAGCATTTATCAATGGGAATACTGGTGTATAAAGAAAGGACATCAAAGCTTACCATGATCTCATTCTTCTCGATTATTAATTCCGATAATTTTAATTTAAAGTCATATGTATCTTTAATCATATTATGTAAGTTAAGCTGTAGTGATTTTAATATGTTACTTAGATATTTCGACAACACATATGTTAGTGTGTTGGTAAAGTTTACTATCGGTCTTGGAGGGATATCTGGTTTATGAATTTTCAGTAAACCATAAAACCGTGAAACATTGCATGATTTCTGATGCAGAGCAAAACAAAGCGAGACACCAATGACTACTGGTTTTAGCTCTTTTAAAAGTTGACTTGTTTCTGATTTGACTTTGTTTTTAATCGTTAGAGAATTTTTCGGATTGATCTTTTCATATGGTTCTGTTGAGAGATGTTCAAGAGCTTTATTAATATAATCTGTTTCATTCATGACTACTGTTGTGTTGCCTTTGTCGGCTTTTGTGATGATAATCGTTTTGTCTTTTTTATTTATTCTCTGAAGAAGTGACTTGCACTAAGTCACGAAACGTCAGAAAATCTAATTTTTCTTCTCATTGGGAGATTACAAATATATTATTGATCTACATTTATTTCTTTGATATTGTTTTATTTTAGATTCGTGAACAAATGGAAAAAGTTGTCAGTGAGCTTAATGAAATGCAAAGATCTTACGAAAAGTTAAGCAATGAGAAAGTCCAGCTAAATGCTGAATTACAACAAGAACACGATTCAAATCAAAATTTACAGACAGTAAGTTTTTGTGTATGCGTATCAGATAATATCTTCGATCAAATATCTTTTTATATCATTAGGATGTTTTCGATAATTCACTAAAAGAGACCTTTTCTTTTCTTTGTGGTGTTATGTAGGAGCGTGATCGTCTACGCGAAAAATTACAAACTTTAGAAGAAGACTATATGGAACTTGAGAATAGAGATAGTGAAGAAAAATCAAAATTACATAACCTGGAAGCTGAACAAAAACGTCTGTTAGAACAGGTAAATTCTCATGGATTCTTGTATTCTGATCATCTCTTTGAAATGTATATTCGATAATGGAACGGTTAAAATACTCCACCTTTAATAGCTAGAAACCACCTTCGGTTTGGGCAGTAGTCGGATTGTACTACTGGTCTTTTCACATAAAATTTAGTTTGTAGTTCGATGGTACATGACCCAGTAATTAGTTAATTAATTATGTCGAATTTAGTTAATTGAATTCATATATGTACTGCTTAGATTTTATTATATTCCCTGAGTTATCGGTATTTTTTCGTCACCCGTTTTTGTTATTCTTATATATACGTATTTTCTGGTATGGCTTACGTTCTATCCCCCTCATTTTTAAATGTCATGAACTGACATTTCCTCATATATTTGTCAATTTCTTACTAAATTGATTGAGACTTGTCTTCTGTTGTTCATTTTGCACGTTTTCTTCAAGTTGTGTCATTGTAGTAATATTATTTTTGTTTCCGAATCTTAAGCACTCAAACCTGAAGGTTCTTGGTCCGATTTCCTCTGGGGTCGTAGATGCAGAATATTGAGGAATCTAAACCAAGACAAAACATCTGTCCAATGCTTTCTAGTTCTCAGGGCTATATAGTTAAGGTTTCAACTTAATTCTCTATAAAGCAATCTCAATCTATCGGAGTTAAATTCACAAAAACACATCTCACTAATGAATTACTTTGTTCCATTCTAGTACCGCTCATTCGCACGTACATATAAGTATTTTTACCATAGTATTTTCAAATTCATTGGTCTCACTATATCTACTGTTAAACTACCGAAATACATGTGTATAAGATGTTTAGATTCACAGCGATTGTTCAACTGTTCTTAATCCACTAAATCAAAAAAGCTTGCCCGTAATTCATGGGCTAAATTTCAAAGTTGTATTCTCATGCATTTTTCGATGTAGTATACTCCTGTATATAATTTTATTTCTATTATATTATTATTTATTTAATTTTTGATTTGTATTTAACAGATATCAGATTTATCAGATCAGTTAGAATTGGAAGAACAACAACGCCAAAAATTACAAGTTGAAAAGACATCTATCGAACAAAAAGTTTCTCAACTTAACGATGGCTATGTTAGCATTGAAGATAAATATAATAAACTTGTTAAAGACAAAAAGCAGTTGACTGATCGAATAGATTTGTTAACTAGTCAGTTAGCAGAAGAAGAAGAGCGTAGTAAACAATTAACTAAACTTAAAAGTAAATATGAAAGTAACCTTAATGAACTTCAGGATAAACTTGTCCGTGAACAAAAATCTCGTCAAGATATCGAAGTGGCAAAAAGACGACTTGAAACTGAGGCTTCCGAACGTCTAGATCAAGCATCGGAATCGTCAAGGATTGTTGAGGAGCTCCGAGCCACGGTGGCTAAACTTGAGGCAGAAGTTGCTCAATTACAAAATCGATTAGATGAAGAGATTGTTGCCAAAGCCGTGGCACAAAAATCAGTGCGAGAATATAAATCACATATTCAAGAACTCAAAGAAGACTTAGAAGCTGAACGAATTGCTCGTGACAAAGCTGATGAAGCTAAAAGAGATCTGACGGAAGAAGTGGAGGCGATGAGATTAGAACTCATTGACAGTGGAACAAACAGCGAGGCACAAACTCAAGCTCTCCGAAAATATGAATCTGATTTATCCAACCTACGTCATCAGCTTGAAGCTCAGTCAAAGTATGTAGTACTGTTTTCAAGCAACATATGAAACCCCTTGTGTGTAATGATTAGTTAAAACACTTATACAAGTCGTCTGTAGGACATTGGGGAAAATTCATATCTAAATACTACCTAGTGATAAATAAAAACATTCCTCAGGACTTGTACTGAGATTGACAATGTTACCTTCTAAACAGAAGACTGCTGTTAGCTTTACACTTGGATAGGAAAGTATATTGATTTATTGTTTGTTCAGTTAAATATAAAAGATTTAAAAGCATACTTTCTAATAGAATCGTGTTCTATAAAAATCCTACTCACATTAAATTGTAAATAATCGTCAACTATAACTGATTAGTTAACTGGACAGTCAGTAGAAGACTTTGATGTTATGGTTTCAAGTCTTCCATAATAATACTAGGTGTTTATATCTAATGTCTTTACGCAATTATTACGTTGTTTGACCAACATAATTTCTTCACTGTTTAATGTATACTCCATATTCAGTGACTTTATATTTCGTTCAGTCTGTATATGCATAACTAATAACACGTTTCTTATCCATCTTAATAATACATTTATCTAGTTGTTATTTCAAATCAATGCACAACCTGTTGGCAATAGATCAGTTTTTATAGCTTCACTAAATAGGAAAATATTCAGTCACTTAAATGACACCTTATTAAATAAGCGTAATTTTGTGCAACATATTAAATCACAATTGTTATTCAATCTCTTGTCATAATACTTTATTACCTTAATTTCTTCATTATTTAGTTTTGTTCATTTGTTTCTCATGTAATATATTCATTCAGCGCCCATGAAGCTACTATTCAAGATATGCGCAAATCTCATGCCGCAACTCTAGAAACATTAAACGATCAAATTGAACAACTTAAAAAAAGTAAAGTTTCCTTAGAAAGATCAAAAGTTCAACAAGATTCAACAACTGATGCATTACAGAAACAAATCCAAAGCCTTAAACAAGACAAGTGAGTATATATATATATTGTACATAAAAATATCCAATAGTCTGTTGTATTGGTTTTCATCTTTTTTTGTATGTGTATGTGTCAAAATAAGTCATTGAATATTTTCAAAATGGGGGTTTGTGGAAATTTTAGTAATTTAATGGTTGAATTCATAAATCGATCTAAGCTAGACCACCATGAAAAACCTGTAAGAACTGGACGGCAGTTCGATCCTAGTATGGGACCCCTCAGCAGCACACATTCACGATCCCACACACGGGACTCGAACACATACTAGGACGAAATAGTTCTTCCAGGTTTTCCATGGTGGTCTAGCTTAAATCGACTCAGGAGTTCAACCATAGAATATTTGTCCTACTATGATTAGGTTATGTGAATCACTTATCATTACTATTACTTTTGCATGTATGACTTTTTTATTCGTCATTTTCTGTAGTTTTGTCATCAATTTTAAATCATTCATTTAAAAGACGTCAATTCATTATGACATAGTTATCACTGACCTTTATTCTTTGATATTTATAATTATGTTATATTTAGTACATCAGGAAGCGAAGTTGTCGTTCGTCACTTTTTGAAAACTAATATATTAATCGTATTGGTTAGTATCAATAATAGTATTCATGACGCAATCTCATCGGTCAAACACATTCATTCACTAGTTCATATTGGCATCGCTCCTAAGGATAGACTTTTATACCTATAGTCAAACATAAATGATATATCGGCATATTTTGGTTTAAAAAACCATACATAGTTTTTGTATATACATGACATCAGTTCATGAATTTATTGATTGTTAAAATAAACCAGATTAATCGGTGTAGTTTTACCCCGATTGAAGTACATACCATTATCATGACCAATGGTTCAAGACTTTGGTTGACGTGTCTCAGAATCAGTCATAATGGTGTAGTGAACGAGGACACAAGTGGGGACGATCGAATCTATTTTAATATAACATTACAGAATATCTTAGTAAAGTCTGAAAAGCATACAATAAACACTTCATTTGCAAAATATCAATCAATCGTCTCATACCTTATTGTTCCTTCATTTCCACATCAATCGTTCTCTTTTCTTCGATCTTCATAACCTTCTGCCTCCAGGCATTTCACTTTCAATTGGTAATACATACTACTTATATCTGTCGACGTCAGTAGCACACCACATTGGTACTGAGATATTCACTCTTTGTTTTCATTGTGACTTACGTCTTAAAGTCGTTTTGTACTTTTAATTCTACGAGTTCATTTTTTTTATCAAATCCCGTTATTTTTTTTCTAACTTATCATATTATTATATATTATTACTAACAATACTACTAATCTTATCATCTGAATTTTTTATCTTTATGTGCTTACATGGTGTGAAACATTGGGCCAATCCATATACATTCCCAGATTTTATGATACCTATGACTAGTTGATAAACCCCTTTAGTCTCCTGAAATGACCTATTTTTCCCTTATTGTAATTCATTAAATTTGGATGACAGAAATCCATATTTAAGTTCATCAGCGACAGAAAAACTTAAGCTCTCATGGTAATCTAATTTTTTTAGTTTTAATTAATTCAATTGTGTATACTTTTAGTTCACAAATTTTCTACTGCTTTTCCACTTTACATCACTTTATTTCTAGAACGGAAATTGACAAACGTCGTCGTCAAGTTGAACAGCAACTAAATGAAAGTTTAGTCAAAATGCAAGAAACAGAAATGCAACGTAATGATTTAGAGTCCAGACTCACTAAAGCATTGAATGAAATTGAAGGTTTGAATAATGCAATGGAAGAAATCGAAACTAAATTAGGCAAGGTCTCGCGTTCTGAAACCTCTGCACAATCTGAACTCAATCATTTATGTGCACGTTTGGAAGAAGAAACTCAGGCAAAATTAAGCTTACAGTTACAGTTACGTCAAGTAGAGGATGAAAGAGAAACAGTAAAGGATTCACTGGATGCTGAAGAACAAGCCAAAACTGCCCTAGAGAAACATATTATAGCACTTACTACTCAGGTTGTTACCCTTTTTTTCTATGCGATGTTTTTTTTAGAACGGCTTTAAATATATAACTCATGTGTTGATTATAAATCGCTTTATAATCCATTTAATATATGGGATTTATTCTTATTACGGACATACTTATAAGAACTCGGGCTATCTTTGGGCATTTTTGCCCATGAAATGGAGAACATGTACTTCATTCAGAAAAAATCAATGGAACAAGCTAATTTTTAGGGACAGGTTTGCCGACTCAATTATGCTTATTCTTTCTGTGTAATTTTACTCATTTGGTTGGTACGTCTTGATGGTGATAATATTTAAGGCATATTGAGCTATTAGTAAGTACTGCAAATTGAAATGGATTTTATTGTAAATTTTCTATTTAACTTGGAAAACATCTCATCCTATGTCACAGGTTACAATACCTAAGTTCATACTATTTGCCATCTTTTCTTATTCCTATCTCATATCCTTTACTTACTCAATTAATCTCCATATTGTTTTACTAAAATTTCATTCGCGATATGAAATTTTTTAAATTTATAGATGCAAGATGCAAAGAAAAAAGTGGAGGAAGATACACATTATTTGGAAACCTTGGAAGATGCACGTAAAAAACTTCAACGCGAATTGGATGATACCCGGAATCGTAATGAAGAACTTGTTTCACAAGTTGAAAAGTTAGAGAAGTCACGCAAGAAATTACAAAGTGAAGTAAGCTGTTATGTTACTTCCCAACTCTAGCAACAATTGATCTTGTTTCAACTATACAGTTTATGGTGATATGTTTAATTTCAACCAATAGTGTTCTATTTACATAAGTTTCGTAACTTACAGCTTAGGTGATGTTGAATAGCGTTATTCTTATCTACATTACTATAATTAGTATGTGAATATATAAGGTGTACATTTCATGCTAATAGAATGTTACATAACTTGATGGAGTGGAAAAACGAACATTCATTGCTCCAACTACATTTGGAAATCTTATTTTTGTTCAGAATCCCTTCAAATTTTTGAACAAACTGATCTAAAATTATTTATCCTACTACCGACCAACCAAGCTACAAGAATTAATTGCCTTAGTTTTATTTTATTTGTCAAGTATTATATACATAAGTCGTTGATGCATTTTTTGTTCCTTCACTCTAAGCTGATAAGTTCAATATCTTTTATTGATCTAACGATTAAAAATGGCTTAAATTTTTTCGTCAGTAGTCTTGCTAGCTAACTAACTATATTAGACAATACTTTCAAACATTTTTATTAGTTCTTGTTAATTCCCATCGATTATGTAGAGTATCAATAAAAGAAAGTCATCGGTAAATCAAAATCAGCGAAATATTGTCTGCTTGTAGTTTAATTTGCAGCTGATTTTGAAAAAGAAACAAGTCTTTCATTATGGCCTTTTTCGCATCAAATTATGATTCTAAACTGAATCTTTCAATCACAAACTTTTTTTACTCTTTGCTTAGTTATGATTATTATATAAATCTTTTTTCAGCTTGAAGATATGAATCATGTCATGGCTAGTCAACGATCTGATCAAGCTAATAATGAACGTCGAATCAAGAAATTAGAATCAACTCATGCAGAAACTGTTAATCAACTTAATAGTTTTCAGGCTCAAAAAGATGCATTTTATCAAGAAATGCTTGAAAAAGACACAAAATTATTCACACAAAAGAATGAAATGGAAAAGCTTAAAGAACAGCTAGAAGAGTCAGAACGCCAGCGTTCATTACTCGCTCGTGAATTAGAAGAACTTGGTTCTCATGGGGATGATGCTGGTAAAAGTTTAGTAGGGTTGGAACAAACGAACTATCGTCTAAATGAACGATTAAAAGAAACTCAACAACAAATAGATGAACTAGAAGATGAGATTTCGACATTTACCATGGAGAAACAACGTGCAGAGGTTAGTTGATTCAATCAATGTTTTCACCTTTTCCATAGCATTAAATATATGTATATTGTTTCATGATGAGGAACCTCGTTTATTTTTCATTCGATAGGTTCAAATGAATGCTGTTCGCACCCAACTAGAACGAGAATTGGCGTCTCGCGATGACTTGCTCGAAGAACAAAGACGTCAATCTCTTAAACGTATAAGAGAACTTGAAACTGAATTAGAAGAAGAACAAAGAGAACGTGCTAGTCATCTTAATGTTCGCAAAAAATTGGAAACTGATCTTGCAGATATTAGTCAACGCTTTGAATTAGCAAATCGACAAAAAGAAGAAGCTGTAAAACAATTGAAAAAATACCAAGGTGTTACTAGTGGCATTCAGCGTGAACTTGAAGATGCTGTCCGTGCTCGTGATCAAGCTATAGATTCTGCACGAGAATTGGACAAGAAATATCGTATGCTGGATGCAGATAAAGCTCGACTTCAAGAAGATTTAGGTGTAAGTGAAAGAACTTGTCGTAATTTAAAGAGTGATTTAAATGAAGCTTTGGAGGAGTTATCTGTTGCAAATAATGCCAAGTAAGTTGTTTATTTGTTCCAATATTATCAATTTTATGTGTTGATTTCTATTTTATATTACGGCTAAAGTCAGTTACCTCATATATTCTTTAGAACTTTAGCACTGGAAGAAAAGAAGCGTTTAGAAGCTCGTATTACTGCTTTAGAGGATCAGCTGGAAGAAATACAAAGTGCCATGGATGCTACAGAAGAGCGCCACAAACGAGTCTACTGTCAAATGGAACAAGCTCAGACAGACTTAAGCGTCGAGAAGAATAACTTCCTACGTTCAGAGTGTCAGAGAGTCTCTCTTGAAAAACAGGTACGTTCTTTAAAGTTGTTAATTGTTATATCACATTCAACAAACTAATTTTTGACTTCCCACAATTATGGTTTCATTTCGCCTATGGAATTTTAGGTGAAAGAATTACGCGATAGGCTAGTTGAAGCTGAAAAAGAAGGAAGTCGTCGTGGTAAAGCTCAAATTGCAACATTAGAAGCTCGTTTGACAACCTTAGATGAGCAACTAGAAGCAGAAAAACTAGAGAAGTTAAATGCAAATAAAAATTTCCGCAGAGCTGAAAAGAAATGCAAAGATTTAGTCCTCCAAGTTAGTGTTTTTTCTTTACTTTTCTTATTTTATTACCGGTATTCATCTTAAAAACTTATGAGACTACATCTTAGTTATTTCATTTCAACATTTATCACATTCTTATGCGTATATATATGTAACTTGTGAATCTATGCAGTAAATTACTAGTCCATTTGTCAGAACGCTACTTAATATTTGATTCATAGAAGCTTTACTCATTTATATTTACTTGGATGATTATTTATCAAGTGAAATGTTCTAATTACTTCCATTCCACCCCATTATTTAAAACAACTTCCTTTATGTCATGCCTTGAGCAAATAATCCTCCTTCGATGATGAAATCTACAAGTTATCTGTTGAAGATACTATGGATTCATCGTTAGGATTTGTACTAATAAATGTCTTCCTATATAAATTATAAGGTACATCTAACAGAGTAATTTATTTATTCATTTAAACACAAACGTTGGTACAAGGATGCACCAATTACATATTTGTCACACAAATCATTCGATATTTATGAGGGCTGGAATACTGTCCAGGCGCCCAAACTAAAGCAGGTGGTTTTCTCAGGTAGTCATTCCTCGAACCTTTGACCTAGAGGTCTAATTCATAAGGCGGCGGAGCAGCGTTAGGAGGCGATCCCATAGTAGCCCGTGATCAATAATAGGTTCATGCACCATTTGTTCTCTCAGGATCCTAGAGCCCATATGACTACTGTTTTGGAATCAGGGTTTTATGGATTTTTCATATCCACCAACCCGGTTAAAGCACCGGACATTCGGTCTTCTCAATTTAGTAAACAACACTCCGCCTGTCAGCGACTGTATTCGCGTGGCTATATGATAGCATTTCGGGAAAGAGAGCGAAATCTCCCCATCCTCTACTGTCCCAGAGCATTTGGGGGAAAGTGGAGAATAACATCAATATGTTATTTTCTATATTAATCATATGTTAACTACACTTATCCTTACCAAATTGCAAATAAATTATTGTCATTCATATATGAATAAAACCTAACGGTTGATGTGTAAAATTTAAAAGTAACAATTACCAAAGAAATCGAAATGCTGACGATATTTTGAAACATCAATTGTTTAGCTTTAAATATATTAATTAGGTTATGTGTACAGTCAATTCACCGTAATGATAATGGTAACCGTATTGTTTAATAAATATCAGTATTCAGTCGATATTTGAAATTACTATTGATTTTGTGTTGTTTTAACTAGAATATGTTTATTACTTTACCTTAATTAATTATTTAATCATTTTTATGATTGTTATTTATTACTTCCATATATGTATGTAATATTTTCCGGTAAATGTTGTCTGACTTACCGAACTGCATAGAATGATGATTTGAGACGATGTGCAGAAGCGTTGAAGGAATCTTTTGAGAAAGCTCAATCTTCATGTAAACAAAATAAACGAGAAATAGCAGGTCTTGAAGAAGAGAACGCCAGAATCAATGCAAGATGTCGCCGCCTCCAAAGAGATTTAGAAGAAGTAATGGAAGCTAAACGAACCATTGAACGAGATCTACAAAATCTTCGTAAACTTAGTCGGTACGTCTGTTATATTTTTAAGTATATTTATTTTAACAGTTTACTCAATGTGACCCCAAGTATTAACAGCAGAAGAGGGTAAACTTTTAAGATAACGTTTTATAATAATAATACAGTAAATGTAGATTGATTTAATCGACAATTAGAAACGAGTTCATCATCAAGTTGAGTGGGTTTTTTGCCAATTTAAATAGAGAAAAATTTCGCAGCTACACAAACGTTATATGTGAATAATAATATTTTTTTGTTGGTTGAAAAAAAGTGATAATCTGGAGGGGCGTAAACAACTGATCGTTGACAGTAATAAGAATACACTATCGCATCAAGAAGAAATAGATATTGGCTCTGGTATGCTTTATGTTTATTCAAATGGAAGAATGGAATTGTACATCAGTTAAACAATGTGCATACCTTGTTGTATTTGTTTTTGTATTGTACTCGTAGTAAACAATTTTTCATCTAATAGCATCAAAAGAAACATGTACTCTAAAAGTATATGAACTTATTCGAATAGTTGATGTGCTTCTAACAGAAAATAAAGTATAGATTATCTACTGTCAGGCTTTCAATAATTAAAATAAGAAATATTGGTTTCATAGAAGAGTTCTCTTTTCAGCAAATTCATTTTCAAAGCTGTGCAATCGCAAATATATAGTAGTTTTATTGTTGAGGGCTTGAATACTCATCATGACGATAGATAGGAAATGTTCTAACCCTTAACAATAAATCTATTATTATTTTCCATGATAAAAACAATGGTCTAATACATTTGCTTATTCTACCTCGCTATTATCACGTTTAACAGAATTTTATTATCACTATCATTGTAAGTGTTTTCATCTTGAAAAATAAGTATATATTTGTGATTGCGCAGCTTTGAAAATGAATTTGCTGAAAAGAGAACTCTGCTATGAACCAATCTTCAACAGGTATATTCTGTTTACTTTCAATTGGTATCTCAGAAGAAATAAACGACATACACCAAAATAGGTGGGAATGGGCGAATAATTAAAAATATTTGTAAAAGATATACAGATAGATAATGGGCAGCACCAGTAACTGAATATTACAACGGAAAATATAACTATCATTATTCTCACTGTGTTTGTGTATACTGCAAATAGTGACGTTATAAAGGAAAAATTATGTAATCGTAGCGAAAAGACCCTGATGATTTTTATTCATCATCGAAAGGATGTGAACCGTTTGGAGATAATATAACAGTGTCGGGTATGAAAAAACTCGTAGACACCAAATGGCCTGTTAAAGTCTTATTTCAAAAACGAAAATGAAACAACATACAACCGCGAGAACAATTATGGTGAATTACAATACCCGACGGTGATGATGGTCCTGGTCAAAGCCGCGAGAAGCATATAAAATATAATTTTTCGTGAACACACATGTTTTCCGGTTTACGCTTTCCTTATCATCTAGTTTGATGCATACACATTTTTAGTGCTTGTTATATGGAAAAAGTACAAGCAAAACATTTTTGAAGAAAAAACTGAATTCACCTAATTTGTGTTTTACGCTAGAAAAATTGGGAGGGAAAGGGGGTCGGTGTGATAAAGAGAAAAAACCATTATTTTAGCACTACACCCCAATCAACGTGAAAGGCGTATGCATATATGTAGTTAAACTTACTGAATTTCATCCGTTTCGAGGATTCATAGGATTTTTTCCGGCGGTACCAACACATTCTCTCTGTCCTTTCTTACTACTGCATACACATACATAAATAGCATCCTATTAAAGTTTTTTTCCGGTCATCAAGACTAACTGATTTGATATGTTTTTCATTACCGGTGTGTTGTGTATTTCTGTTTAAAATCCTGTATGATTTTTTACTTTTCTCTGGTGATTGATATTCCCTTTCTTTGTGTACTTCTCACATAGAGAAACGTTTTGCATGGAATAATGATATTTTCTCCCTCTCTTTGCGTATGTGTAGTTTACACATTATTCGTTATCAACGTAACAAATTGTGTATTTGAATTTTTTCAGTGTTTTAGTGTTGTGGTTTCATGTTTTACTTGACTGACAAATATCAAAATTATTTTTTTTAAATTATCATCATTATATTCTTCTTTTCACCTATTATTAGAAGTACGACTCGTCCAAATCGTCAATTGCCGACAGTACTTTCAACACTTTCACCTGATGTTGCAGTAGATGAACATAATTCAGTGAGTGAATTGGATTCTATGACTAGTGATTTTGGAAGCGGTGGATCAGTTGCTACTCACAACAATAATAATAATGCTTCTACGCCTTCAGCTAATGAAAATTGAATTTTTTTCTATTATCTACAAACTATTATTATTATTATTATTATTATCACAAAATATCACTGGGAAAGTCTTGTTTTACTTTCCTATTTTTCACCTATTTTGGGCAACTCAGTACACAAATATGCTGTTACACAATTTGCACGAACAGCTATACACTTTATCTATGGTATACTACTATTATGGCTGGTGTGTTATTTTTCTCATCACTACATCACAATTTCCAAAGCCAACCTGAGTTTACTCCGCGTACATATATATACGTTAATGTGTATGGCGGTTGTTCCAATTCTCTATTAACTAACACTACAAGTATTATTATCTTGATAATCATGGTTGCTTTATGTATCGGAAGAATTTTCATTCCTTTACACTAAGGTGCGTCTCTAAAACTTCGAACCTTGGTGTTTTCAAACCTCCGATTTTTTTTAACAAAATAGAAATAAACTTTTTCTAACTTTGTTGGTTTTTTAATGATTCTGATTGGATTTTTATAAAAAAGTTTTGCCCTTTGCTCCATTTGTAAATCAATGTTAAAACTAACAACATATTTGTTATTGCTTGTTTAATTATGATATATATTTCAGCCATTATCAGTAGTCAAATACATCACTCTAAATATGGCACTTATTACTTTTCTTAAGATATGTTCTTTCCTTTTTGTTCTACAAATATTGCGTCCAACCGTCAACACTTAGAATTGTTGAAATTTATGCTATCTACCTGCCTTCTCTGCAAACAAAACTAATTTAAAATTGATATGATGTTTTCTATCTTGAGATGCGTTTTTTAAAAAAAATTATACTTGCACAACCTATAGTTCTTTTCTGTCTTCGACCTTCGATGTCAATCTGAACGTTATCTTTAGCTCAGATTTATTGGTTTCCCTTCTGACCACAGAATAAGCAATGCTTGGGTTATGAATAAAGTACTAGGTAAAGATAGCAAGTCGATTGATTAAGTAGTGAATCTTCATCAAGTTAGGTGTATGGGACATGTCACTTATGCCTATCCACCACCTTTCTAGACGGGCAATGTCTGATGTAAGAGTAGGCTAATAAGAAAGGTAGGGGCGGCCAAATTAAGACAACATCCGTTCATGAAATCATCGAAAGTTGGAGTGAGCCATGTTAATAGGTGTAAACTACCTGGTTGAGCTCTGCGTGATTATCGTATCCTATGGTTACAGACCTTAAATGACATGGCCCAAAGTAGTTTGAATCCTAAATGCCTGATTTGTTCCATTGCCATTCATACTGTTACTACCTCTACTGTTGTGGGATTTGGCTTGACAGTTTCACCTTTGTGCTAATAGAGTTTGACAGGTTGAATCGATGTACATACAGGTTTTATGTTGTGACTCTGGTTTTCCTTCTGATTCGTTACCGTCAGTTGTTTTATTTGAATAAATCGATGTATATAATACTGGTTACAATGTGTACAATTCACCATTCGATTCATGTATTCTTTTGTAGAACAGTGGATACTATTATTGCATATCTTTTAATCCATATGAGGTAGTTACATCTTAACATGCAATCCATATCTTTATAGGTATTTTAGTGTGTATTTAGAAACTTCAGTTCTATAACTTATCCTTTAGTGCCTTAACTGCACTTCATCCTTGTTTTTTTAAATGGTCCTCTCAAACAAGTGTCGCTGTATTCGATTATTCTGTCGTTCATTCCAACCATCATAACAACTTTTAAGGTAGTATGATACTTCTCACATGTTAATCTGTTTGGATTATAGACATGCATACTCAAGCACAAATCGAAACGTCTGAATTAATGATTATTATTCTATTATACGAGTAGTGTACAGCTATTTATCTTGTTGTGGATGTTTTTCACACCAATTTACAATTCTCTAGCATACAGATAATAATTGTTTACAATTCAAGTAACTGACTCAGTATTCCACTAGACAAGATTTACGTAGGTAGCTTAGTGAGAATTCAATCGATAAAGCGAGCTACTGAGTTTGTAAGTATATAATATTGAGTCACATGTGCACCAAAATGTTCTGTAAAGTATATTTTGATAGTATATGCATTTTATATTTTCCATTCAGGAAAAAACGCAGATTTATATGGTATATTCAATTTAAAATGTAATCTAAAAGTCTATTTAATTATTCAGTGCACATTATTCTGACTAGCTTTTCATTTTGGAAGTATGGATAAATGTTAATTTGAGCATACGGTTATAGAAATGACAAAAATGAGTTAACGGCTCGATGTAAACCGTTAAACATGCAACAGGAATCAACCTTGGGTATTCACTCACTCCACCAGAAAGAAGAGTAGCACTGATTAGACTTTAGACTCTTCATCTCTATTTTGTATTTATCAGTATAGGGTTGTGGAGATTATTAAGTTTTTTTTGAGACCATCAACTGATCAACCTCAGACCATTGAAAAACAGGGATCACTACAGCCGTTTTGTTCTGGTATGGAACTACCCAGCGCTGCGCATCCACTACCCCCCACATGGGACTCGGACGTAGGGTCTTACCGAGGTTTCTGTGCAGGCTAACTGTGTCTTTTGAAGTTTATTACTTGAATTGAGCTAAATTCTAGAAACTAATCACTTTTTTACTAACTTAAGTAATGGCCTCATTCTGATCTTGATAAATGTGACCTACATTCTGAAAATAGTAGTGATCAAATGTCATACTTATAGATGAAGCTGTGGTTTTGATATCTCACGTTATGCTAATTAGTCGAGGTTTACATATTGTCTACACTCAAGAAGTCAGGTATCCATATGAGTGAAGTAGTTGTTATAATTTACCTGTTCATTATAAAAAGAAACATAACATCCTAGGAACTTTTTTCAAATCCCCATTAATGGTACTGCTTGTATAGTCGACAAAACAAATTACCAACGGTTGTAACTGATATAATGGGACGAGTAGTGTGAAAGTGTAACTTGTAAGACTATCAGACGAAAGACTATTACACGTATTTTTATTGTGTAATTTATATCTAATTTTTCCTTTGACCCATAAATCATCATGTAGGTAATTATTTCTCTATTACTACGGCTTTTTATCACTTATGACTAAGGTACGTACATATTGTGATTTTCTAACCTTGTTAGTGTATGATCATTCATTCAGGTATATTATTGTGTGTTTTCAGTCATGAAGAAGAGTAGAATAGACAGCTGATCTGCTTTCTGTGATTATCTGATGATTGAATATTTGGTTGGAAGGAGCAGCTCGAGAACAAATAAGCATTGAGACCTCGGTGGCTATTCATTGGTTGATGTCATCTGGTAAATAGGTCACTGATCGTACTGGTAATATAGGTGATCCAATTAATAGTCAAACTAAAGAGAGAGGAAATACAACGGCCGTTGCAATTACGACTTGATCATACGAGCTCCAATATAATCCAAGGAATCCGTTTCTCTATTTTTCCGTTGCATCAATAATTCTTACAGGTACATAAGTATTCAGTCTAATTATATAGTAGCATCGGTGACATTAACCAAATTGTCTCCTAATACAAGGCTACTGTAAACGCTTGAATTTAATATGACTGTCGATCAAACATTTAATATTCACATTACAGATGTTATGATGTGCGAGTGATTAAAGTTGAAAAGAGACACTAAGGTATATATATATCATAATTACGAGTATAGTGTGCTGAAATATTGGTTACACAATTCAAACATGTTACTGATCTAACAAACTGGTGTAACTGGCTTAATCTAAAACCCTTAGGTTTTATTGTACTGTACACTCTCACATAATCTATTGTCTTAATATTATATCACTAATAAATATCAGTGCTTTTAACAACCGTAATATATCGTATTGGGAATACTACCTAACTCAAAACTTAAGTTTTAAAGCTTCGTGCCAATTACTTTGAATCACTCAAAATCAGTCAATTTTCTTAGTATAGTAGAACATTATAAGCAGCCTGTTTTGATCAGTACCAACATCTGATTTTGCGTTTATGACTTAGCTTTCTATTTAATCATTCAGTTTTCATTATCAATTTTCTTATTTGGTAGTTTTTACCCAGATTATGATGGAACCTAATATTTGAATATCATTGTGGTGTACGCTACTTATGTCTGTTGACATAAGTAGTGTGCAACACCGACCAGAAATGGAATACCTATCAAAAGAAGATTAAGAAAATTGAACCGAAGGAAACAGAAATAAATCGAGAATTGGGAGAATCATGAAAGATGTAAAGGACAATTGATGAAAATTTGTAAATGAGTTTTTTAATGTATGGTTTTCATATTTTATGAAGGAACTCTGTAAGTTCGAATAAAATAAATGAATTGGTCTTCTCCACCTGAGTTCTCATTCACTACAACACTATTCATGTACCATAAATAGATTATCATAAAAGTTACTTTCAAGAAATTTTACATTGTTTTGGTGCGTGTATATATCACCTCAACTACCATTCCAAGTATACTGGTTGAATGCTGAGTAGTGACCATTGTCATGTTTGTTTGATCGTTTAGTGCAAATCGAATTTTATCAATCACTATCTGTGATATATTCATTCAATATGTAATACTCCTTTTTAAGTATTTCTCAGTTCATATAATGTAATAAATGACCATAACAGTTGAGTATGATTCTGACCTAGACATTTCTTTTTAGAATCAACCCAATAACTATTTCATTGAATAGAAACTAACAAATAAACAACAATCGATTGTCTTAAACGTTAAAGTTACGTAACATTTCTTACTTCAATCGATTTATTTCACATTGAGATAACTTGAGAAAAAAATTAGTTGAAAATATCAATAATATGGTTTCTTATCCACATAAACTTATTTCACTAATTGGACTGATGGAAGAATCTTAATGAATATCGTAAGTAAACTAATACAGGATAATTTGTTTTTCAAAATAAAATATTTTCACAAGTTAACTTCAACTACTTCTGAATAATGGTGATATCATAGTTTAATATGTTCAGTTATTGTATTTTTGTCTCGAACTTTTGTTCAGAATTT